CTCGACCCCCTTTCCCTGCTAGTCAGGTAACAAAAGGAAGCAATTAGACAGTGGAAAACAGGATCGTGTTACATGTACACACATCCCTCACACTAACACGCTCACACTCAGTGTAACAGTAGAGGGAGAACTGTGTAACAAGTACATGATAATGCATCCATCAGAAGACAAAGCATTCTCACAGATTTGCACGCCCTGACGCAACATGCACACGTCAATGCCTTAGAGAGGACGACAGAGAATCGGCCTGTTTGGGTCAAAACGTCTTGTTTGAGGTGCGGCAGGCGAAACGTGGAGAAGGGAGGGGGGCGGGGGTTAGGAGCAGCCATTATAATCTATAAACGCAAAGTGAACAGAAACACTACAAGCGAGTCATGCATGGCAGTTAACTCTCACAGTAGCACAATACCCAGGTAAACATGCAAGATTAGTATCCAGGCCTTCAACAGCTAGGTAGATCCTTCTGGGACAAGGAAAAGCTTCACTCTGAAACTAATCAAATCGTGCTTATACCCCCCCACCCCCCAACCAGTAACAAAAGGAACTCGTATGGCAGACTTAAGGGCGTGGGGCTCACTCTTGATGCTGCATTGACAGTGAATTTAGGACACCAGATTGTGAGACATTTATGTTTTTGGACATGAGAGGAACTCATAAGGATGAAGTATGTCACTACACATACAGAGCACTCGAGAGATGCCGACTATAGAAGTAGGTGATTTGGAATTTGATGGCATGCAAGGTGACACTGTAGCATGTGGCCAACATTGGCAAACCTTTAGTCCATTTTCTTCCACAAGGAGCCTTAAATTTGAAGGCAATTTGAAGAGAGAATTTGCCGAAACATGAATTTGCAACACAATTTGAAGTTTTGTACACGTGTGCGTGTATGTTTATTAAAGCAGACAAACAGCAAAGAATACAAGCCAAAAGGTAAAGCCAAAAATAGGACTACAAGGGTCCTTTCTTCCCCCCAATAACAAGACACGCATTACGTTGTGACAATACAAATTGTATTCATTTGTTTTAAATACATGTTTAGGAGACATATGCTTTGTTGCTGTTAGCTACTTAAAACATGGAAACCAGAATCTCTAAAAACATACATAAAGCTATAGCCAAATAGACAGCTCAAGCACATAATTGCATCTAAAAAATTGTTTTTAAACTTTGTTATGGAAAATCTGTTAACGACCATCTTAAAGCTGATTCAGATTCTAAACTGCAGTAATTCTCTAAAATAAGACAAATCACCTGCTGCATATCCAATTTTTATTCAGAGTAACTTTTCATCCATTGGTTTGTTTTTGCTCCCAGAAGTGACTCAGTCAAGATAAAAGCTTCCTCTGAGCTTTAATTACATTCATACAGAACAAAAAGCATACACCAAACAGAGATGCAGATGTTAAAATTACTGCTTTTCAAACAATATCAAGGAACAAATACACAATAACAGGTACAAAAATACCAGAGAAAACGAATACAGCCACATATTAAAGTTCGTGACAGCAGGTTCATCACCGCCGCCTTCCCCCCCCTTCCCCCCCGCCCGCCACGGCCCGGTCCAGGCCCACCACGCTGGGAGAAATTGGCCCTGCCCCTGGGTGCCCCCGCACCACCACGTCCTCTGGCTGGAGAGGCCCCTCCCCGGGTGCCCCTATTTCCACCGCGCCCTCGGCTTGGGGCCTGGAAGTCATCATACCCGTAGTAGGGGTCGTCGTAGCCGCCACGGTAGTTGTGATAGTCATAGCCATAGTAGTCATAGTAGTCATCATAACCGTAGTAGTCAGGGGGGTAAGAGTAGCCTCCCCGGCTGC